GAGCAACGTACACAACCTGATCAGTCTTCAAACACCTTCAGTTACGAGCATGTTTCCAAAGTGGTTCGGGCTTATGGGAGCCCTCAAGTAACGGTATCAGAAGTGTTGCCGGTGTAGAACTTGTAATTATTAAAGATAATATAATCAGCAAAATACAAATTTTGCAAAAACATACACGTGTATAATATGCTTTTTTGAACAAATGATGACAATTGTACGGAGGTATGAAGCTGAAATAGGCCTTCAAATAGACTGAAATACGCAGGTAGAGCTTTGCATGGTCTCTATATATAACTAAGCTAATCAATGCCCCCAATTTTCGAAATAAGTAGTATTTAACAGTCACCTGAGAGTAAATTTGTACACGTGGGAGTGCCGCCTTTTTCCTTAAGTTGAAAAACCTTAAAAGAAATTGGTCAGTAAACAAGGTGGTATTGAACTACAAAACAAAGGTTCTTAATGAAGGTGCAAAATTTGAGTTTGATCAATTTGAGTAACTCGCAATCGCTTCTTAGCTGGGCCTTTATAATGACTAGCATTTCCAGTTGGTCAGTTGGTAAATTTAAGCGAACCTGACTTAACTAAATGTAGTCCTTAGCCAAAGATATGCGATCTCGCAATTTGACTAATTGAATGAGGCAATTTTCCAAGAAAGCTTTTCAGCTGGGCGCGAACATCCTAAAATAGTGCCACAAATGTCAAGCATTCAAAATATCGTACCTATGAACCACGGCAATGAGGAATCATTCGTCTGTGCCATCGTTTGCCTGATCCCTATGACTTAAAACGAAACAGAAGGTTAACTGTCTTTGGTCAACCGCTACCCATCTTTTTTGATACGTTACTAAACAGTTGTTTAAATGCAACGGAGAATTGGAGCAGATGAGATGGATTTCAAGAACTCTGATAATGAATGCCATCTCGAATGGTTGTGATTATTGGAGGAATTGCACAGCACTCCTTGTGAAAATATGCAATTTTTGAACTAGATGTGGATAAAGGGCTTTAATTTACTTGGTGATGAAAACAAATCGCCTTGAAGCATTTGTAGGGTAACCATCTTTCCCCACATTGATTTGTTTACTTTTCCCTCTAATAAGCTTCACTTTGCTTCAGTAAATTCTTCATGCTGGCGCTACTTGAAGAACCCACTGTTCTTTGACATCTCTTTGAATATTTGTTGGAATAAAATTTAACTTATTAATTCATTAATGCACTGGTAAGCAATTTAAGTTTAAGGCTGATTACGCGGACAAATAAGTCTTCTGGACTGCAGTTCCACTCGGTTACATGGCATTCGTTGTACACCAGTGGCCTTTCAGCACATCTGTATGTTAATAATACATCTCCAGCTATACTGCTCTGACTCCCTAC